TATACATATGTATATAGAAAACAAGGAAAAAGAGAGAAAGATATTCGAAAATATTTCATTTGATACTGTCGTCTTATCGGTTGAAAACATACGTCTTGGTCGGTCGATAACGGTGAGTAAACTAATTTATGAACGTGAAGCAATAGCTGGATGATCGGTTCGTATAGTAGGTAATATATGTAAGATTTATAGGAAAAGCGCAATCTCAAATCGATATGTTCGTATCTGGTACACGGTCTCTGGTCGTTCGATAGAGATAGAGTATAAAAAATTCTATTAACTACATCGTGCTTTTAGCCGTAAAAATGGATATCCCGATGGGTAGTAAAACGTTTATTGGTAAACTTCCGTTGACGCTGTAAATCAGATAACAAAAGGAGTCTTTTCGGTGTAATAGGTAGGTAGATGTATCCTTTTTTTCGAGGTCGCTTAAAATATCAATAAAAAGTCAGGACTATTCCTAGGATATTTTTGTAAAGCTATCGAGTAGGTATATAGCGAAGCATTATAAATCAGCATAGGCGGGTTATCGAGTTTAGCCATTACGGTTAACCGTCAAAGAGCAACGAGAGAAAATATATATACATATACATATACATATACATAAATATGTATAAATATAAATCGAGAGAATGAGGCAAGTGCCGGCACATTTTCGAATCGTTCCCGTACATTCCACATATTTTGTAGGAGCTCCAGCGACTCCTTTGATCTCTTGATTGCACGGAACGTGGAACACGTGGTAACAGGAAGAAGGTGTCCCTCGAGTTCATGGAGATATTTACGCGCTGTCCGCGTACTCGTAAATGTCGTCGCGATCTTTCCTTCCTCTCTATCTCTCTCTCTCTCTTTCACTCCCTCTTTCTGTCCTTGTTTCCAAGTAGAAGCAATGACGTGGCGCTAAAGCAAACTCGAGGAGCTTTAATGACGAATAATTAATTTACAGATTGTCTCAGACGGGTTGAGCTTGTCCTCAGGATATATAATGTACTTAAGATTATTTATCATGTAAAAATTTGAATCGTGTCCCATTTTCTCGTTAACCGATCGTTTTCTCTTGGTAATTCGAACACTCGTTTCCGCGTGATTTGGTATGACCAACACACGAAGGTTATTTCCATGAATCAAGTAGCGAATTCTCAATCTTCCGAGCGAAAGGTACTAGTTTCCTCGAGGGAAACCGCTGATTTGTGGCCTCCTCGCAAATCGATGTTGCTTTAATACTTGGAACTACAAGGCGCCATGAAAGTCGAGCTACCGAGTGGATAATAGGAAAGCTATTGTGGTTTTCGAAAACGAGCTTCTTTCATTGCGTGCACTCATCGACAATTTTACATATCGTGATCGATCCTCCGTCTCTCTTTATCTTTCTCTTTCTCTATCTTGAAAATGATATAAGCACGTTCCAATATCGACGGTCTCGATCCGTCGCCTTGGATCGATTAAATAACAAATTTAGTTTAGCTAACACGTAGATCATAAGTAGTTATTCGACAACGAACGTCTAATCAAATTTGCATACTATTCGCATATAATATTATACCTATCGAATAAGAGTTAGTTACTAGACGATATGACCTAATATTTTAATAAATCAACAATACGAGAGACCGATAGGTAGTTGCATGGATAGTATTAGTCGCAATCGGATTACAAGCTGTAAGAATAATGATGAATTATCGATTACGTTCGTATCGTATCGATGTCCTTTCAAAGTGCCATAGTAAATACTCATGTATTCTATTAAAAAATTAAAATCTCCTTAGAACGTCCACGATGTATTTATCTATGCAAATCGAAGTTCGAAAGATCATGGTATACTGCTTCTCTTACATAAACTGGCGTTGGATAAGTGATGCAAGGCTAACAGTATGCGGAGATCGATCCTCTAGAACGTAATGAATGGCGATACTAGTATGGTAAGAATTTTCTAAATCCCTCAAGCGAGTTAGCGATACAAAGACTACCGCAATGACGTATCTAGATCCTTTGCTACCAAGCGGATTTTCAGACAGGGTAATTCCGGTAAAATGACGAATGAGCCTCAATCGTAGTTATCGTTTATTCCGACAAAGTAACACAGAGTCAGGGAAAGAGAGAAATAGAAATAGAACGAAAGGGTTGCTTTGGTACTTAGCCAACTTGCCATTCATTAAGTTTTTTCTATTTACTCCCCCTCACATTTTAGAAGCAGTGCGTGATATTACTATTTCAATCGAAAAGCCGACTTTTTCGAATCTCCTTGTTACGAGATCTAACTTTAAAAATATCTTCTGACTTTTATATGTGAACCACCCCCTCTTTCTTTTTCTTTCTCTCTTTCTGTCAGTCTGTCTTCTTTTTTTCCTTTTTTTTTTTTTTTTTTTTTAATCGAACGTTATCCACATTTTGAAGAGAGAGGTATTTAAGTACGATTCGTTACGCGGTACAAGACAAAGCGAAGGACACAAGGTGGTCAGCTTGTTAAGCGCTCAGTCAGCGCTTTCGAAATCGTCGTTGCAACGCGAACGAGTTGCCTGCTCCTCGTTTAACGACATGCTGCTGCTTGCTGCTCGGTTTATACCATGTCCCCGTGTACGTCGGTTGGACTCTCCGAAAATACGGTGCTTCCGTGATATGCCTCATACATAAATAAATACGCCTGATAGGTAACGTTCCATATGTGTAATGATTCCCCAATCGATTCTCTCTCGTTTCGGTGAAAAATAATAATATTTTTATATTTTTTCTCAAAGTTGGTATAAAGATAAAAAAAAAAAAATAAATAAAAGAACGATGAATAACGATAGAAAAATTGTCGAGAACGTAAATTGTAATCTGTAGTAAACGTGGAAATCTATATAGAGAACAGAAAGAGAGAGAGTTCGATAAAAGCGTCGGAGCGAAACGCAATCCATGCGTTGAAGTCTCCAAAAGCGAGAGTACTTTTCGCACAACCAACCTTCGTTCGTTCTTCGATCAAATCTGAGAGAGGAAAAATCTTATCTATTAAGACGTCTACGTTTATTTCTATCGTTTGAGATGGTGGTTATTTCACTATAGGCGACGATCATTACATTCCTTTCCTCGTAAACACTTTGTGAGAAAAAAAATAGAGAGAGAGAGAGAGAGAGAGTGAATGAAAAAGAAAAAAAGAAAATAATAAAAAAGAAAAAATATTGAAAATAGAAGTATATAGGACGAGCCCGATCCAACGAGTTATTTCAACAATCTTATTAAACGCACTTTACGTAGTGTGCCTACAAAGGGAGTCTCCTTCGAAGACACGACGAGGTAGTAAACGTCAGCCTCTATCCGCGGAGAGTCGAGTCTCTTCCATGATCATCACGGAAACAGATTTATGATAATCAAGAAGGCACTCGCTTTCAGCTCTCTACCATCTCGCTCTTTCTTCCCTTGACAGCTTTTTTAAAACGAAATTTCGATTTCCTCGTAAGAGAACGAGATTTACAACCTCGTTTCTTCGGACATACTTTTTTTCACCCTATCTTCTATATGTCTCTGTCTTTCTTCCTTTCTTTCTTTCTTTCTTTCTCTCCTTTCTTATTTCGTTCGTTTAGTTCACGATTCTCCCTTTTCTTCCCTTTGCTTTTCCTCTTTTTATTCGTCGTCGTCGCGTTCGTCGAGAGAAGAGAGCAGAGGAGAAGGGACTCTTGGTTTCTTTTTTCTTCTCTTTATTTTTCTTTTATTTTTTCTTTTCCTTTTTTTCTTTTTTTTTTTTTTGTTTTAACTGCGCTCTTCTTATACGAGGTCCACGGGGAAGACGGCAGCCGCGTTACTCCTTCGCGAAATGGGTTTTCGTGGCTACGCACGCGAACAACAATAACAACAACAACCACGAATGATTTCATTTTTGAATAACCCTAAGTAAAGCGTGGCATTATTTTCTGTCGATCGTTAATGTCAAAAGTACAATTGGATGGAATTCGAGATGATGAGAAATGAAATTTGAATCTTTCGTATTTGCTTCTCCTTCTCTCTCTCTCTCTCTCTCTCTCTCTCCCCCTTTATTCCTATCTCGTATTTCCTTCGAATAAATAGATTTTTATTAAAAGATGCCATGTGTCATATTGACGACGTTAATTCTCGATTTAAATAGAAAGGAAAAAAGCATTATGTAAATCCCTTTTTTCATCGTACGAAAGAGTTCGTTAATATAACAAGGAGACTCGAGACGAGATGCTGGTCGTCGTAACATCATTTCGATGAAACTTATTGAACGCTTACGCAACACGGATGACATAGAACGATAGGAAGACGTTGAGAATAATCAATCGAGGATTCGTGCCACTTTCGTGGATTATTATTAGGATGGGGAATGAAATCGAATAGGAATAAGTTACAAGAAAAGAGGATAATGCTTCTCATAAAAACGTCAAGTATCTGCTTTTTTTTTTTTTTTTCTCGATTTTTACATTGCCTTGTCCAGGACAATTTGGACGAGGGCGTGTCGTAAGGCGTGCGAACGTTACGGCCAGTCTCCTGTAATTTTGGCAGTCGTAATGCCTTAGCCGCGCGATAAAACTTGGTACAGACGGAACGAACGAGAGTAAGAAGAAAAATAAAAAAGAAAATAATAAAGAGAGAGAGAGAGAGAGAGAGAGAAAGAGAAAGATAAACGGTCGTTATTCAAAACAACGATGGTCGTTCCATCGTGAGAAATCGATTCGCCGGTAAACCCTCCTTTTTCCAGTGTACGACGACTTTAAACGCTTTGGCACGCGTGCCAACGGCGATATACTTTACGTTTGCACGATTTTTCGAAGATAATGAACGGGAAGATGAAGACTGGGACACATAGCGCGATAGTTCTCGTTTCGGAGATATATATTCCGAGAGAAATTCATTATCGTGAAAATTTTTAATTCAAACGATATTAAATAATTTCAAATATACGAATTTAACATTGGTGGTTTCGCTTGTTTTTTCTTTTTTTTTTTTTTTTTTTCTTGTGTATAACAATAAATATTTTATGATAAATTTGATAAACGCGCACTTACATCGAATTCGTGGTGTTCCAATACAAGCTGATCGCCTTCGCGCAGTTGCTCACGGTTGAGAGTAAAACCGTTTGTAGGCACACGAGGAACACCAGGGTCATAAGTGACTTGGAAACCATCGTAAAAACGTGGACGAGGACGAGCACCGTCAGTACGGCCACTTGGACTCAACAATGAGAACAATGAAAAAACGATAACGATAACAACAACAACAACAACAACAGCAAGAGGAACGAGTAGAACACTTGCACTTTCGTCGGCGTCGTCGTCGTTGGTGTCGTCCACAACCACCTTCCACCAATTCGTCGCACGGCCACCACATCCACTTTAGCACTTAAACTTTTCTATCAGCTAGTTGCCTCTCCCTAATCCTTTTTTCGAATCCACCCAATATATTTATCTTTGAGAAAAATCGATGATTTATCATAGACGCAAACGATGATCTATTACGAGGAATCCACGTCGATCAAAGATATCTACGAAATTAACAAGGATAGTTAATCTGCGTTATCCGACTGAATGATCAAACTCGATCGTTTCCAGACTCCGTTCGGTCCTTTTCAAAGTTGTCCAGCGAAGTATACCTTGTCCCATGGATCCATCCCGTGCTTCTCTCGCCTAGAGTGTATCTTGCCAGACCTCTCATTGGTCCAGCTTTTTCCAGGAGTTTTCTCTCGAGAAAATCACGGTGCTTGGTGGTTCGAGACGTTCCGCATATCAACGGCGCACCGTCGGCCGTCGATCTTCGACCTACGCGCGTTCTCTCTCTCACCGTACACCGTACACCTTACACCAAACCTCTAGGTAGAAGAATAAGTTCTTCGAACCGACTCTTCTTTGAAGATCGTTCTTCGAGCCGAACGAATCAAAGTAGATGTATCACGAGGACCGTAAAAAATCCCTATACTGCTATGTAGAATATAACTCTTTAAAGGAGTAGTAAATCTCTTGAAGAACAATATTATACACTATGAAATTATTTTCAAAACGTATTGTTTCATAACAAGACGAATAATTAACTTAAATAACTTCTTCTTCTTCTTCTTTTTTTATTTATTCACCTGCTTTCACTGAGAACAAAGAAACACTGAATCCGCAGATTTCAAAAATAACTTTAGGTATCGATGATAGAATCGTAAGTACACTATTATTTCTACCCACTGATTTTATTTCGAAAAAAAAAAGTTTTCAAATCACATTATCATGTTTGTTATCGTAGGAGTATGGAAAAAAATCTATGTGAAATAAAGAAAAAAATATTGGGTTTAGAATGAAGCAACGTTATGATAGGCCGTAGTTATAGGTCGAACAGTACCGCCGTTCGAAAGACTTTCTGCACGCGGAGAGAAAACGATACTTTCCTGCTTGGTGTCGCGGACGCGTCTGTCGGCCCGAGCCGAGCCGTCGCGGCCGTTCGTCTCGCGTCAGCAGACTCGTGCGGCGGCGGCGGCTACGGCGGCTACGGCGGCAACAGCGGCCGAGGGTGCCGAACGCTCCCGAACTTAACCGAAGACTCACGAACACGCAGGAGAACTCATCGCGCGTTATTCTTCCTTCAGCTCTTCCAGAGGTACGCGGTATTACGCTCCCTGCTCGCGAGACGCGCGTATCCGAGTGGCCTCTTCAATCTATCTCTCTCTCTCTCTCTTTTTCTCTCTTCGTGTCATTCCATTTACCATCGAAGAACGTGTCTTACCTCTCGCTGTTTTCTTTTTCTTTTTTCTTTCCTATCCTTCCATGAAATCCTCTCTCCGATAATCTTCTTCTCGTCGACGCATTTTTTTTCTCCCCTAAATACTCGCTTACTAATATTTTACTTTTATCTTTCAATAATATATACATTTTTTTTTTTCTTACAAGAGACCACATGAAATATTTTCAATTCGAATTTTGTAAACTCCAGGAAAGTTTATAATACGCTTTCGATTATTACGAGAATTCGATAAATGGATGTTAGTCACATCCATTGACGCGTCCTCCACAAAATATAAACATTCACCAATCACGATCCCTTTCCAGAGATACTATTAACGAATTATTATACAAACTTTCTTCATCCAGTGATTCTTCATGTCGTTTCGTATGCTTTTAAGAGAACGAGAGTGCTTTCTTGACTTACGATCGGCGCTAAGACTCATTTCCTGCTTCAATTTCGTTTCACTTTTTCTCCCCTTTGTCGCAGACGTCTAGCCATTTTCCAGAAAGAGAGCGAACGAGCGAGAGAGAGAGAGAGAGAGAGAGAGAGAGAGAGTGAACAAGAAGAAACGATATATACAGAGGAAAATATCTTTCCCCGTTCTTAACTAGAGCGTGTGTCTGCTGAGAAGTGTCTACATATATTTATCGCGAGTGATGCACCGAGCCGAGAGAAAGAGAAGAGATGGATCGAAAAGGAAAGGAGGAAACAGAAATATAACTGAATATACAGATGTATACATGTGCATTTATCTACACATGTATGTATATATATATATATATTTCTGAAGATGCACTTGGGTACGTGGCGCCCTCGTGTATAAGAGGAAAAGAGAGAGGAAAGGATGATAGAGGGAGAGGATCATCATCTTCCGCGTTGGTCTCTCCTGTACAACGATCTCGGGGGCATACTCCTTCGCTCTCTTGGATCTCGAGAACCGGTATCTACCCACGGACAGTCATGTCGGTCATTAGTCCGACTAATGCAACGCTTCGAATTCTATCGGTCTACGGCGCCAGAACGTTCATTTCCTTTCCTCGCGTCTTATTATTTTTTTTTTTTTCAACTAGCAAGATGGACCAGAAAATATAATATAAACTTTCAAATATATACATAAACGCGACTAACGTTATAGTCAATTTTCAAAGAAACTCAAAGGTTAGCTTTCATGTATGAAATAGAGCGAAAACGAAGGAAGGCGGACGCTTCGGATCGTCGAGCACGCAAATTCGCTCTGATTTTCTTTTGCTTCCTCTCCATTCTAAGCGATCACTTAGATCTCTTTCTCTTTCTATCTTTCTATTTTCCTTTTTGTTTTGTATTTTATTAAAGAACAAGAGAAGAATAGAACAATAGGATAGGATTACGAGGAGGTAGAAAGAACACGGACACGGCGAATCGATTATTTGTCCGTCCGCGAGCTTTGATTTTTCACTCGTCACGGGCCATTAGACGATGGTATTTTATCGTTCCTATCTCGATCTCTCTGGATCTCCTACAACTTCCACCCGTCGATATCCGCGATCTTTGAAAAGGAGATCTTGAGAACGCCTTTTTTCGAAAATGTATTTCGTCTTAACGATCGATTTGGGGGAAAATTTAATAGATTCATAAGACGTGAATAAAATGAACTTTGAATGGGGGAGATTAGGATGGTTTTTTGGGTTGAAGATGCTCGTATGAGATCTTTAAATCGTTCTCAAACAAACTCGTAGGGAGGTCTTCGATCGTTGACTTTCAATCCGTTTGTTACACATCCCCGAAAAGTCAGAGAGTTCTTTCTTTCGTTTTTTTCCTTCGGCAAGTTTAAACGACTAACAACGCCTGATACACAATGGATAGTATTAAACGAATGTAAGGTAGTAGGTAAAGCGGTTTGCTCTAACCAGAAATGTATTTAAGTATCTCGAGTAATGCTTCACGAAAGGAAAGTGCTCGGCAAATATTGATTCATGCGATTCTTACGCACTTCTACTACGAGACTACTCGAAGGGGGGGAAGAAAAAAAAGAAAAAAGAAAAAAGAAAAAAGAAAAAAAAAAGATAAAAAAGGAGGCGTTTCGGTTCGATGGAAGGGACGAAGGAAGAAAGGCCAAAATCCTATGTACACGCACGAGCTTGTATGGGGCTGAGAGGAGCAGCTTTCATCACCGAATATTCTCAAGAGGATTCTCTCTTGGCTACCGGCGCTGTCCGTTTCGAGCAGGTGAGACGACTTTGAAAATGGCATTCTGAGGTTCTCGCGAAAAGCCGTACTACGTTATAATAGTTCTCTCTTTCTTTGTGTACATTGCGCTCGAAGTTTGCGTTTGTTTGGGTCAGAATAGTCTAAAGAAGCGATTCACGTTCGAAGAAACCTGCTATGACTTAATAACCGTGTAGCGGTTTAGAAAGAACATGGAACGGTTTTGAGGATACCCAAGATATATGGTTATATTATACGTTTAACAGTACGTACTTATGTCTACAAGGATTTGAAAATTAACCGTTAACAACGCTTAGGAAAATAAAGGCGAGTCCTCTTATTTCGAATGATTCCAATTTGTTTTACCTTTTCGGTAAAGTTTTGTTAGAGGGAACATGGATGACACATTGACTGCTATGAAAGCTAAAGAATTCTTTTTTTTTTTTTTATTGAAAAACCTGTCATAGCGTTCTCATGAGCCATCGGCTGGGTATCCTTTTCTCGCGTATAAGCGAGTCTTCTATTCGTCCAAAAGAGAATTATCATATTTTTATATTTCGGAGGACTCTCGAAGGGGTTACGCTTAATTTACGAAGAAGCACGACCCTTGGTCATACATTGTAAAATTCTTAACGGCCATCTATCATCGTTATTTATTGGCATTCGCCAAATTCGTGGTGTCGGATAAGTAAGTATATGAGTATATATGTATATTCATATATACGCACGTATAGATATAGGTATAATATGTATAGTATACGTTTGTATTTACCTACATGTACATGCTATATATATAAATACATACATAGATAGAGATACCTACATACGTGATTACGTGGCAGTCGCGTTTCTTTCCATCCTCCAATCCATTTCGCTTCATTACCGACGCGGATCCACCGTCGAGGAGGTTTCTCTTGACCTCTGCCTTGAACTATGATTGGACACGTTACATCGATCCACGTCGATCCTGATTCGAGCCATCGTTCGCACGTAAACGCTCGCGTCAGTGGATATCTCACCTTCGTCAAAGCTGCGGACGATATCGCTCATCGACGTTTCTCTTCTTGCCGGCAGATTACTACGGCAACGAAAGAACTCGACGAGTTGCGTGCGAGTCAGCCACGAGGAGAGAAAGAGAAAGAAACAAAAAGAGAGAGAGAGAGAGAGAGAGAGAGAGAAATCGATCGAACGATCGTTCGATCGTGCATTAACCGAATGCTTCGCACCTGCGTACTCTTCATTTAGGTGAGAAAAGTAAGGACGAAGGACTCGTAGCGATTCATAGAGTGCGTGCGTGCGCGCGCGCGCACGGTGATTCGATTCTCGAAAGATCGAGAGAGGATCCATTAGCCATTAGCCAACGTTTATGCCCGTCAAAGTGTCCGATGGAGAACAATGGAGAACCTAGAATAGGAATCGATTTTACGCCTTTCCTTCTCTCTCTCTCTCTCTCTCTCTCTCTCTCTCTTTCTCTCACTCTCTCACTCTCTTTCTCACTCTTTCTCACTTTCTCTATCTCTCTTTTTACTTTTGCTCGGCTTTCAAGGCGCGTGCTTTAGTCTTAGCTATTTTTTTTACCCTTCCGCACATTAGGCACCGATTCTTGCTACGGGTACGTATTTAATTTGTTAAATCGCGCTCCACCCTCATTGGCATCCGACCTTTACGATGGTCCCGCAATGACGTGGCACTCGCTTCGATCATCAGAAAAGGAAGAATTTTTCTTAGACAATATCGTTTATGTTAAATCTTTCATTTTGTTTGATATTAAAATATATGTGTAATCGATTAATCGTATAAAATTGTGAGAATATTCGAGAGAAGGTAATTTAATTTGAAACAAAGCAACGAAGATAACAAAATCATTGCTGTCCTACGCCACTGTTTGCATCCAACGATTCGACACACGAACGATCTTTAGGCGCCAAGACAATGGTCCTTCCCTTCGTCCCTTATTGTTTCGGCAACTACGACTACGACGACGACGACGAGGACTACGAGGAGGACGAGGACGAGCGGAATCTTAAAAGGGCGACCATTATTATACTTCCATTCAAAGATGCCAACCTCCCTTTTCTCTTTCGAACCCTTCCCCTAATAATCGAACAAGCCTGGAGACACCTGCGTGAAATCGAAGAGAGTCGAACGCGTGAAAAATTTCTTCGGCTTCTCACGGCGTACGAAACTGAAGGAAAAAGAAGAGGGTTATTGGGGAGAATCGCGCTTGTACGTCATCGAAGGCGATAGGTCACCGTTACTAACCCTTTCACCTCTTTTCTTTTTTTTTCTCTTTCTTAAGTATACGTAATTACTATCCCCTTTTTTTTTATCCGCGCGTGGAAATTCATCGGATAATCTTTTTCGTGAACATTTTTCTTATCTTCATTCGTTTCAAAGAAAAAAAAAAAAGAAGAAAAAAAACAAAGATAAACTCTTTTAGAAATCTGACGAATAATAGAAAATACGTGTGTGGCCCACGTAATCGCGATTAAAATGGGTAGGTAACATAATGAACTTGCGTTAGGAATAGCTTGTATTATTGTGAAGAAGTTAGTCTTTCCTTCTAGCACGCACGTATGTATATTACATAGATGTTCCATGTAGTTAGAAGAAGAAGAAGAAGAAGAAGAAGAAAAAGAAGAAGGAAAAAGAAATAAGTAGAGAGACGTGGACATAGAAAAGAACACAATAGCAAGTGGTATTCTATTATTCCATGCGTTCCATGTGCATCTCTTTCTCTTTCCATCCTTCTCTCCTTCATTCCGAACTCGCACGATTAAAGGAATGCAAGGATGAAATCATTCTCCAATATCTCATGTGGAATTTTCTCATTCCTGAACGAGATGGTACGCCCCCATACGCAGGTTTCTCGTTCATCTCGTTCTTCTAATAATCCTTCAAGGCCAACATTAATTATGAGACGCGTCGTGAACACTTTTATACGCGGATAGGGGCGTGCTCATGCAAGCAGAAAGTTCTTTTATTGATTTTTACTTTACTTTTTTCTAGTTTCTTTCAAATCTGAAAGAAAGAAAGAAAGAAAGTGAAAAAGATAAGAATTAAGGAGATACATTTCCTACGGTTTTCTTCGGTAGGATCGCATATGGGTACTATCGAAAAACTAGGAAAAGAGGGAAACGTTCGTTTTTCCATCGATCTTTGTTAGTGTTCGTCTTCTGTGGTTGTAAAAAGGGGAGAGGAAATGGTGAGCAATGATTCGGAACGGAATTCGACCTTATTCTTTCACTACGAAGTGTGCTTCCGTAATTTGTCTTTAGCTTTCTATCCATATCGGAAAGAAGGAAACGTTCGATCGTAGTTTAGACCGGTGGAATATCATTTGAGATAAAATAGCATTTCGATCATCATGTAAAGCGTTATATATGTGGTTAACTAATTCATGTGCTACCGATGAATAGGTTTATATGAACGAGTTGGTATGTAGACACGTACTTACATACGTCGAATTCACGAGGTAACGTTGAAATTACCTTTTTGCGTGGGCATGACGCGTATACTCGGACGAGCATTTACCTCGAGCGTCTGCCAGCTCGACAGGTGCATGAGATAGTCGTGAGAGAGAAAGAGAGAGCCGCAAGCTCTCGCACGAGTCCTATCTCATCTGTGTGTATACGCGCATACCTGCGATTTCACCTGCTACGAATCGAGCATCCAAACTGTACAAGCATTTCGCGTTATTCCCTTGTCTATGCGGATGAGCTGAAGTCCTAAAAGGAATTTGAGGTGCCAGAGTGGCGTCTGCAATGATCGTACATCTCTCGAATAGATGCCCTAAATGTATTCGTTGCCGATTCTGTGTTTCATTGGTAGGAATAGATCCAACGACTCCTGAATTAACGGCTAACGGTTCGATAAACGCAGCTGGTATAATACACGCGCGCTTAGAATCGTGTATTTAAACATCTGAAATACGATAGTCGTCCGACGAGCAAACGTTCGTCATACGCTCGATTAAATTGCACGATGTCCATTGCACGCGAACAAATTCTCCTCAACGAGATCACTGCTGCTACTGTTGGCGTTGCTGATTCTCTTGTGTGTGTATGTGTTGCTATGGAATTACACTTCGCGAGCATCTGTCCTACGGCTATGATTCTTTCTTTTTTGTATCAATCTTTTTTTTTTTTGTTTTCATTTTTACTATCACGAGAAAAAGCTACGTTGTTGATTAAAACAAATGAGTTATTGCGATTATACACACTGACAGGTGAATTTGGTTTTTTTTTTTTTTTTTAATTCAGAGATTCGATCGTAATCGATCACTCGAGATTTTAATCTTTTAATCAGTAGAAACTCGTTCTGTAGCGAATCGATTCATAAATAGTATGTTATATTTAAAATAACTAATGGTTTAATGGTGCAAACTCTTAATCGAAAAAGGTATGATTATTTATAAATGAAATTTGATGATTTTCCTAACATGGGGTAAAATAATTCGTACAATTATATTTTTCAACCAAAACGGCACGCAATATCTTTCAGTTTTTTCTTTAAAATTTCATTAAACGGATACAATATAATAATACAGATTTCTGTATATTTCGATACAGAAATTATTAAATCATTTATTTCTCATTTCAATTAAAGAAAAGACATGTGTGTCACGGCTGAAGTTCTTCTCTCTCTCAATGTACAATTCATTAATTTGTCCAAAGTTTCCCGTTTTCGTCTGAAGTTTATTATTTTTAGTTTTAGTATCGGTCGATAATTTTCCCTAGTTAACAGATTAACATCCGTCGTTCCAAAAATTTTCCTGTAAAGACGTTAAGATTTGCAACAAGCACATTGCAACTATGTTAAATACGTTTAAACTACTATTTCTGCAAGACTAATCCGGGATTTTGTGATTTTCAGGTAAAGTCAAAGTAAAGTATCGTTTCCAAAGTAAATGGTAAGACTTCGAGAGACGTTGGACGATTAAGTCGAAACCGCTCGCCTACTTCGTCGAGGGAAGAATCGTCGTCGAACTTTCATCCTCGATCGACCTATACGGAGGCACGGTTTCAAAGATACCGATCGAGAGTTCGCACGAGCCTTCCGCGTTCGGGATTCCGTAAAGAGCAAGAAGCAAGTTTGTGTGTTAACGTTTATAAGCTAGTTTGTAATGTGTAAGTATACATATGTGCAGGCATAGGATATGTGTGTGTGTATATTTGTGTATATCTCGAATCTCGGTTAATACCGCTACAGTATGGCATTCTCTCCATCTATCCTCTCTCATTCCTTGACTCTGGGCTTGTAAGCGAGTGAGGTATATGTATAGCTGTGTGCGCGAGCATTCGAACGACTTAGCCTTAATTAGCTTAGTCCGGCTTAATGCGCCAAGATTCTGTGCCTTTGTCTCCCGCGCGGTTACGCGTTTATAGAGGGACACACACGTTTGTATATAGGTATATATAATATATAGGTAATATGTATGTAAATATATGATATGTCTATAATTGTATCTTTACATAAGTATGAAAGGAATAGGAATAGTTGAGAATGATATTAGCATGTATGCGTGCGTGTTAGTCTACTCAATATCGAACACTTTCTCCGCTTCGATACCGATAATGTCTCGATTTATTGGTCGAGCTTAACCGCTGGCCCAGATTCTTTCGTTGAATCGTGCCGCCGACTGTACGATATGAATTAGCCTCGAGTGCGTTAATACCGAGTGCTCGCGAAAGGAGCCAGAGGGTTAGCAAAGAGAAAAAGAGAGAGAGAGAGAGAGAGAGAAAAGGAATGAGTGAGCGTGGGTGGAAAATAAATAAGGATTACGCCGTTTTTCGGCCTTCCGAAAAACGAGTACTTTTCATCCTCCTTGGTTTTCGTTGATTCGTTTGCGAGTGTACTAAATCCTTGCCGGATTAGATACGGATTAGAAAGGGAAAGACGTCGGATGATAATATTTTCGAAATTTCAACGTACGACCAGCTTAGGTTATTTCGGTTAACGGGAAACTTATTGCACACAAACTCGACTCGTACTTTTACAAAGCGTAGTTGTTTCACGAGAGCGTCAGACCGTTTCGAAGTTTTATAACGTCAATTTTAAAACGTGCTACTTCAATTTTATACGAGTAAATGAAATTTTGTGGAAAAGAATATTTTGAAGTGTCTATAATTAAGATTCAGGTTTCACGTTATATCGGGATTAAGTAAAATAGACGTGTTAAATAGTTTATGATAATCTACATATTTTAATGATCGAAAAAAATAGTCACGAGACATATTATTCGTTGAAGCTTGCAAATTATTAATGAATGAGACTTAAAAAAAGTTTTCCATCTACGTTGTGTCTATATTTATTTTTTATTTTTTTACAGGATACAAAATAAACGATGATAAATAAGAAGATAGTAGAACCGGTTATTTTTGCGAATGACTTTTCGAGACGAATTTTAAGCGAAAATAATGCTTATCGTTTAACGAATTTAAACGTAGAGCTTGGTTAACCAAGAAAGAAATAAAAAGAGAGAGAGAGAGAGAGAATATAAAACGATTTAGGAATGATCCTTTAAACGTTTTGACGCGTTCTAAAGACAAGATGTTTGAAAAGATGCAGAAGAGAAATTTCGCATCACGTTGGAGACAATCATGAGCGAAGACAAAAAGAAGGTGTTAAACCGCAGCGGTCATGGACGCGTGCATTCCATTCGAATACCGGCGACCCTTCGAAGGACGACGCGCGTATAGTCCTCTTCCTTCTTGTTCCTTGTTCTTCCTCTTCTCCTTTCAGCACCTTTAAAACACGGAATATGTCGAGAGAACGCGATGGCTACGATTTGTTTTTCGACCATGAGAGAGAATTGCGATTCTGCTCGCGTACGCGCGATACACGTCCACCTTGTACGTGCCGATCGCGTTCGTGCTTTCAAACCTTTCGACACTGTTCCTAGAGAAAGAGAAAAAGAAAGAAAGAGAATATAAAAGAAAGAGAAAGAGTAAAGAAAGGCAATGTTTTACGATTTTCCTTTTTCATTTATTTTTCAAATATACACAAATCAAGCCTTCGAGAAAACATTTATCCCAACATTTAATTATCATAATTATTCATTTTCAAAGCAAATAACAACATAACAGGTTCGTCAATCGGTATCGAAGTTTTTCCATGCATGAAGACTGTGACTCGAAGGACAGACACGTAGGAAAATACACTGTATACGTAAAATAAATATATACGTATACATATATATATATATATTGAAAAAGTAGAAACGCTTAATACGCAGATTGATGTAAAGTAACGAGCTAGCAAGGAGAGCACGAGGGCACGAGAAAAAGAGAACGAAAGTAAAAGAGAGAAGAGAGAAGAAGAAGAAGGAGAGAAAGAAAAAGAAGAGGAAGAAAGGGTACTCGAGACAACGAGGAGGTGAGCTCGAAAAAGGGCCTCCGTAAACTCGTCCAATCTTTTTTACCTCCGGATTCCTCTAGTTCATCTCGCGCACGACACGCAAACTCACCGTGCGATTCACGCAGAAGCAGCAAAAAACTTGCTTTCTCGGAATCCTTCCCTCTCTCATTAAGCCTGTCCCACATATTATCCTCTGATCCTTATTGCACGACATTGTCACTTATAATAGTATATAGGTAAGTATCAAACATAGCAAGGCCTTCGAACGTCCTTCCAACGTTTAAATCTTTTACTTTTCATTTTTTTTTTCTTTCTTCTTCATTTCCATAATAACTCGTTAATTGCACGGAAATGTTAACGGACACGTAATCGAAATTCTATTTTCAGTTCATTCGAGGTATTCCTGAAACACGAAAAACTACTATATACCACCAACTATAGTCGAATAAACGTGTATAAGATTAACGTTACTTTTCAAAGAAGACGACGGAGTCGTGCAACGGGTCAAAAAGTCAACCACTGTGGTTTCCTCTTCGTTCTTGTTTTCGCTAAAGAACGTACGGACACCACAACTCCGAGTTGTGTACTATCCAAACCAGATTCTTTCTTTTTCTCTCTCTCTCTCTCTCTCTCTCTCTCTCTTACTCTTCCTCTTGCTTCATTGCGTTTATATACGTGTATGTATATTCGCGGCTAACGAGAAGATTGCGTAATCGGGTCAAGCTTCTTGGACCAGTATGGCGTTCAGTTAAAGTCTTTTAAAGAGAAAAAAGAAAGGGAGTCGCTTTACTCGACCTAATCACTGGGAGAGAGAAAGAGAAAGAAAGAAAGAAAGAAAGAAAGAAAAAGAGATAGAGTGAGGATCAAAACGAAGCAACGTTTTATTGTCGCTTTTAATATCCAATAGGAAATATGAGTCATTCCTTTAACTTCGCAATGATATCATTTCAGAGATATCAAACAGAGTTTCAATAATAATTTTTGTAACTCTTCTATTAGGAATAGAAAAAGAATAAAAAAGGAAATAAAACAAAAGAACAAAAAGGTAAACAAGTCAAGAGAATTAACGAGCATCGATTCACTAATTATTTTCTATTGCGATAAGATCGACGATCTAATGTCTAACGAATAACTAACCTAACGAATCATGTTGGCGCTTAGAGACTATTATAGTTATTAATTTCTGACGTCGACGAACGCGAGATATTTTATGTCAACGATGTTATAATCTATTAGAAAAAGTAGTAATAGGTATGTGTTACTATGAAACACAGCTCCGGTGGTAATACCTCGTTATAGTGCGAATCTCTGTTAACTGATACAGGATTTATTACACGTCAATTACATTGCATTTACAACACCGACGTGGGTCTTTCTAATTTAACACTTGTTAGCAAGAATTAGAAAGTATTTGAATGAATTGCAAGTGATTTCTATGAGTGGTTTCTTTTCTTCCCTTGTCTTCTCTTACTTTTTTATTATTTTTGTTTTTATTATTTATTTCATTTTTTTTTCTTTTTTTTTTTCAGGAAGCCGTCGATGTTGGTAGACGACGGTCGAAACTCATAGCTTTAGGATACAATTACGTGAAAATTTATTCGCGAATATATCGCGCGTTATAGAGAAAAGAAAACGAAAGAAACAAGAAAAAAAAAGTAAAATGAAATAAAAACAAGAAGAAAGCTAATTCCCCGCACGTTATTTATCCGAAAAGAAAACGAAAGTACGACTTTGTAGTCGTTTAGCCGAGGGAGAAAAGAGATCGTTATACGAGGATAGTTTCAGCGATGGTAAGATGAAAAAACCTTGAAAATGATCGTCTTCCTTGGTCGGAGAAAATCGTACTGTTAAGAGAAAGAAGAGAAAAGAAAGATCATTGATGATAATAACGGGTTAACAGTATCGTTCCTTTCGCTTTTCTGTGCCTTTGATTCGTTTAGATCAAGCATTGTACTCGCCTATATACAGGGTGTATTCCTTAAAATCATACAACGTAACGCTTATTAGATTTTTGTTTGAAAATTATTGATATAGCGTGTTTAAGGTGAACAAAATTTAGAAATAAATACATTGATATGTCTCAATTACATATTTAATGAGTTTAACTTGAAAGCTTTACTTATCTTCAAAAGAATAAATTCTAATTATTAGTAAAATTTAGAATACAATAGAAGAATTTTAATGGACTTTCATAAATAACAATGAGTCAGTTTATTGTTAGATTTCGAAGAGAATAGTAGATCGAATTTATATTCCGTACTTTTATACTACAATATATATTTCCTTCGATTAATTAACAATCAATTAACAATCTATATAAATCAAACACAGTACTGTACTCTACTAATATCTTGAATTGTATAAACTAAAATACATTAGTTTTAACGTTCCCGGCTAGTGATTACTTTCATTTGAAAATTTTCATCTAATAAAATATCAGATCGAAATTGTTTAATATTCGAAGTATATTAATGGATACCTAATTCTTAAATAAATGTTTTATTATTCTTACTTTAATGGATATTTAATTGATTTTATATAATGCTAACGAATATTTAAATAATAATAAAAGAAAAAAATATGCTGACCTAATTTTTGGACACGAAAAAACCAGGTATCTTCTCCTGTCATAAACAACAAGTACGATTTTAAAGTACGGGTGTTTTCTATGAATTATTTTCATGTTTCATTAATTCACTTGTTATAAATAAAGCTTTGAAATATTAAACTCATTAAATATATAATTAATATATACTAATGTATTTATTTTTATAAACTTTCTTCGTTCTAAATATACTATATCAATATAAATTTATCAAGCAAAAATTTAATAAGCGTAACGGTGTACGATTTTAAGGAACACTGATTATGTATAACTCTCTGTATAAAACACTCATTGTGTATACGGGTTTGTAAGTCATTGTGTGTGCGAGAATGAGAGAAAGGAAGAGGATTAACATCCGTAACGTAATAGCTATGTCGTGGTCGATCGGTTTACGCAAAAGCGCACGATTATGTTTCTCTCTCTTTCTTTCTCTCTCTCTCTCTCTTGATTCATATGACGAGAATTAATTTCATTTCATTCGAATTGGGCACATTTCCGATTACGAATAGACACGAGTGTTTCTCGTATAAGCGCCGATTGCGACTCTTGTTTAGAGGTTAAGCATGAATTGTTTAGTGTATAGGATAGGATAGGATAGGAAAGAAAAGATTGAGAGAAAGACAAAGACGAAGAGAGGAAGAGAAAAAGAAAGAGAGAGAAAGAGAGAGAGAGAGAGAGAGTGTGTGCAGGAGGGGTAGCCATAGAAACGGATTTATACGAGACATAGCGAGCAGACTTTAACCGAGTTTCATGTTTAAACAGCACGACCGGAGAAAGTTAACAGAAACCGCTCGAATCTCTTCGATTGGCAGAGTCAGGCGTGTTGCGGCTTTACTGTATACTGCTTTGAGCTCGGCCATTGTAGTCACGACATGGGACAAAGAACGATAACACTTCGACGCGTCTGTTTCTTCTTTACTTAAGAGAATCTTTTCTACATTTTACCGTACCTAGATTATTCTTCCTTTACTTTCTTTCTCTCTCTCTCTCTCTCTTATTTCCTTTCTCTTAGTTGATCTTTTGCAGCTTCCTTATGAGCTCGTTTCGCAAACAATCGCCCTTGTTGACCTCCTCGCCCGATTCTCCTGCACCATTAGTCGCAATTAGTCTCCTCGATGAATTTTCTATGAGCGAATAATCAGTTGAGACTATGCACGTAAGTACGTTGTACGAGACGAACGATTACACTTTCATGATCGAAAGTATAAAAGAAGGTTAAAGATAGATAGATAGATAGATAGACAGAGAGAAAGTAAGGAACCAAGCAAGAAGATAGAGAAAGAAAAGAGTCGCATTGCGGAAGAGATCGATCTGTTGTGCACGACTTGGGAATGTTTTTCGAAATAACGTTTCTTCTCGACAACGAATGGGAACGATCGATGAACTACTGACGAGCATGCTTCCACCGGTTCACCTTTTCTTTTTTAATAAGCACTCATATGTGCGCGCACGAGCGTGCGCTCCAATTACGATCATGCAAATTTCTTTAATGAGCAACCATCTCTCTAATCCAGTCGCCATCATAATAGGTGAGCGATGCTTTCAACAATCGTCGGATTAAATATATGACCTGGACACTAATAGAGATAAAGAAAGAAAGAGAGAAAGAGAGGGGTTGATACAGTAGGGGATAAGAATATTCGGGCTGTGAGCTATATTGTAAATTTATTTACGAGTGAAAAGAGGACCGAGAAAGAGTAGAAGGAAAAAGAGTGAAAAAAAAAGAATATACAGATGCAGGGACGATGCTGAGATAAAAAGTTCCAGTTGATATATTTTGTTTATTCGCATGGATAAGATAAGGCAAACGTGGGAGCCGTTAAGGCGAATACTTTGGGCACGGGGCGAAGTTTTTTTTTTTCCAAGGAGAATGGGACAGGACTGTGAATCAAATGTGAATCTTGTCGAGAAAGGGAAAGAAAGAAAGAAATAGAAAAAGAGAGAGAGAGAGAGAGAGAAAGAGAAAGAGACCTCTTTTTCGACGTCTCTTGATTTCGTAGTATCGTGATTTTGCAGTTGTATTCCTTGACAACGATGACGACGATGACGATCGTGGTGGCGCAACAATGTTTGAGATAATTGATCGGTAATGTCGTTGTGCTGCTTGTAAGAGTACCTTTGGAACG